GCTGCTGCTGCTGCTGCTGCTGCTGCGGCTGGTCTATGATGGGCTCTTGAGCTCCTGGAATGAGGCCTGCTCTTTGCAAGGCATCAAAGTAAGCCAGCATCTCATCCACTTCAGTGACGGTATCTGCTGCTGCTGCTGCTGCTGCAGCAGCAGCATCACACGCAGCAGCCGCAGCTGGCACGGGGCACACTGGAAGCGCTGCAGCGCCTGCAGCAGCAGCAGCAGCAGCAGTAGTGTCAAAAGCTTGTGTCTCCTCCTTAATTCCTGCTTCTGGGCTGCTTCCTCGGGGCCCCACAGGGCAGCCAGCAGCACTGGCAGCAGCAGGGCGAGCAGCAAGAGCAGCAGCAGCAGCAGGTGTCATTCTTGCTGCTGTTGGGGGCTGGGAAGCACCCGGCGGAGCAGCAGCAGCAGCAGCAACAGGTGCAGCAGCAGCTGCTGCTACTGTAGCTGCGGCAGAGTCCTCATATGACCTGCCAGTGCGCTGCTGCCACCTCTGCCGAATTTTCTCCCTCCGAAGCCTCCCCATCCGTTCAACCAAATGCTGCAGCTGCTGCTGCTGCTGCTGCTGCTGCTGTTGCTGGAGCTGCTGCTGCTGGAGCTGTTGCTGTTGCTGGAGCTGCTGCTGCTGCTGGAGCTGCTGCTGCTGCTGCAGCTGCTGCTGCAGCTGATGTTGCTGCCGCAGCTGCTGAATGCCTCCATTCTGCCGCTGCAGCTGCTGCAGGTGAAGATGCGGCTGGCTTTGCTGCAGAAGCAGCTCTGGGGCTGCAAGCTGCTGCAGAGCAGCAGCTGGCTGCTGGTATTCCACGGTCAGGTGGTGGTGGTGTTGCTGCTGCTGCTGCTGCTGCTGTTGCTTCGGCTCTCTCTGCCGTTCTTGCTGCTCCCTCTCTTGCTGCTGCTGCTGCTGGCGTCGGAGCTGCAGAAGTTGCCGAAGCCTTTGCTGCTGCAGCTGCTCAAGCCCCCGCGCCCTGCTATACCTATCTAAAGCGTTGCTGCTGCTGCTGCTGAGCATGGGGCTCTTGCTGCTGCTGGTGGCGCTGCTGCGGCTGCTTGAGATAGAGCTGCGGCGGTCAAAGACCTGCTTCATTTGCGACGCAGCAAGGGGACGAGGGGACCTGCTGTTGCTGCTGCTGCTGCTGCTGCTGCTTCGGCTGCTGCTGCTGCTGCTGCTGCTTCTGCTGCTGCTGCTTTTGGAAAGCCTACTGCCAGAGTTGCTGCTGCTGTGTCTCATGAGCCGCCGAGAGGCCTCGCCATTCAGGGGCCGTTTGGCTGTTCTCTTGCTGTATCTGCGGGCGCTGTGTTCCTCGCTGCTGCTGCTGCTGCTCCTGCTGCTGTTGCTGCTGCGGAGCCGTCGGCGCGACTGTCTCCGCTGCTTCGGCTTCCTATAGTGCTGCAGCTTCCTCCTCTTGTCAGCAGCTCGAGAGACACTCCGGCTTTTAGAGGACCTCTTGTGTCTCTTCCCTCTTTTCAGTTCGTTTCGAATGCTGCTGCTGCTGCTGCTGCTGCTGCTGCTGGCGTTTTGCTGCTGCTCAGAGGCCCTCCGCGCAGCGTGAGAGCTCCATTGGGCACCTGTGGGGCCGAAGCTGATCGGCGAGCCTCGTGCAGCCGCAGCAGCAGCAGCAGCTGCTGCTGCTGCTGCAGTGGGCGAAGAATCTGCTGCTGCTGCTTCTGGCAAAGTTGTAAACAGCTGTGCTGCTGCTCCAGGGGAAGACCAGGGCCCTGCAGCTCTTGGGAGTGGCCGCGGCAGCAGCTGCTGCAGCAGCAGTTGGCGCTGCTGATGCTGAACCGCCTGCTGATGCTGCTGCGGATACGACAGCAAATCCTTATGTCTCCTCGGTAGCTTGGAAAGCGGCTGCTGCTGCTGCTGCTGCTGCTGCTGTTGCTTGTGTTGCTGCTGTCGGAGCTCCTTACGGCGTTCTCGCAAGCTGCGTCGGCGTCGATCCTTGGAACGGGAGGAACGTCGTTTGCCGTGTCTGCTGCTGCTGCTGCTGATGCGGTGTTTCCTGCTGCTGCTGCTACTGCTGCTCCTCCTCTTGCTGCTGCTGCTGGCCCTGCTGCCGCGTCGATGCTTTCGACGAGAAGCAAAGCTGGCGCGTCGGCCCTTGTCGGCTCCTACGCGTTTATCGTGGTGGATTTTGCTGCTGCTGCTGCTGCTGCTGCTGCTTCTTTTCTTTGAGAGGCTGTGCTTCCTGCTGCTGCGGCCGTGCCTGGCGAAGCGTGCAGGTACCCACTTGCTGCTGTGCCGCCTGCTGCTGCCTCTACGTCTGGATCTGGAGCCGGCTGTGCTGCTGCTGCTGCTGCGTGTGCTGCTGCTGCTGCTGTCTGCGCTGCTGTTGCTGCTGCTGTGCCTACTGCTGCCGCTGCTGTGCCTGCTGCTGCTGCTATACAAACTCTGGTTGCCAGCGTCTCTGCCGCGCAGCTGCTTCGACTGAGCAGCAGAGGGGACGCGGCAGTCGCCGTTGTTGCTGCTGCTGCTGCTGTCTTTGTTGCTGCTGCTGCTGCTGCTCTTGCTTCCCCAGAACCGGCAAAAGTCTTTAAGGAAAGCTTCACCCTCAGCTCCCGCATCTGCAGCAAGCTGCAGCAGCAGCGCACGGCCTTTCTCCAGCAGCGGCCCGAGATCCGGCTGCTGCTTGCCAGGCTGCAGCTGCTGCCTGTTCGGCTGCAGCTGCTGCTGCAGCTGCTGCTGATGCTCTGACCCCACACTGCTTCGAAAGGCAGCAAACTGCGGGGCTGCTGCTGCTGAGAGCGCAGCAGGCGGCGGCGGCGGCACTGGGAAAAGTGACGAACTGCTGTGTTCCCTTGCAACGCTAGCAGCAGCAGCAGCTGCTGCTGCTGCTGCTGCTACTGCTGCTGCTGCTCTTTGTTGGTCAAGCAGTTGATTCGGCGGCAAGGGCAGCTGCAATGATCTCCAGGGAGGTCTTGGGGCTTGCTGCAGCCTGCCGCTGCGTTCATCGTATTGCTGCTGTTGCGACTGCAGCTGCTGCTGCTGCAGCAGCTGCTGCTGCAGCTGCTGTTGCAGCTGCTGTTGCTGCAGCTGCTGCTGCTGTAGCTGTTGCTGCTGTCGCTGCAGCTGCTGCTGCTGCTGCAGCTGCTGCTGCACCTGCTGGTTCCGCTGCTGCTGCTTTGGCTGCTGGTGCTGCTGAAGCTGAAGTTGCTGCTGCGGCAGGGGATTCGGCAGCAGCGCCTGCTGCTGCTGCTGTGCAGGTCTTCGATACCAAGAAGATGAAAGCAGCGCAGCAGGTGAAGAAGAAGCAGCAGTAGTTGCTGCAGGAGGAGCACCAGCAGGAGCTGAGGGGAGCTGTGGGGTGTCTGCTGCTGCTGCTGCAGTGTGTGGCAGCAGCAATCGCTGCTGCTGCAGCTGCTGGAGGCCTGGAGGGGGAGGGACCTCAAGGAAGAGCTGGCCAATGGATTGTTCTCGCTGCTGCCATGAATGCACCTTTTGCTGCTGTTGTTGCTGCTGCTGCTGCAGTAGCTGCTGCTGCAGGTGTTGCTGCTGCCCCTGTGAGTGCCGCTGCTGTGCCTGCTGGTAGTGCGGCTGCTGTGGCTGCTGCTGCAGCTGGTGCTGTTGGCGCTGCTGCGGGTGCTGTTGGCGCATTTGCTGTTGCTGCAACTGCCGTTGGTGCGGTTGCTGCTGCTGGTCCTGCTGGTGCTGCTGGTGCTGCTGCTGGTGGTGGTGCTGCTGCTGCAGGGGCTGCTGCTGCAGGGGCTGCTGCTGCAGAGGTTGCTGCTGCAGTGGCTGCTGCTGCAGCGGTTGCTGCTGCAGCGCCTGCTGCCACAAGCGCTGCTGCGAAGCAGCAGCTTCTGACCCCCAGTTAGCCGGTGGGCTGCGAGAGGACAACTGTTGCTGCTGGTGCCGCTGCGAATGCTGCTGTGGGTGCTGCTGCTGGTGCTGCTGCGCGTGCTGCTGCGCGTGCTGCTGCGCGTGTTGTTGCTGGTGCTGCTGCTGGTACTGCTGCTGGTGCTGCTGTTGGTGCTGATGCTGGTGCTGCTGCGGGTGCTGCTGCGGGTGGTGTTGCTGGTGCTGCTGCTGGTGCTGTTGGTGGTGGTGCTGCTGGTGTTGCTGCGGGTGCTGTTGCTGGTGTTGCTGCTGGTGCTGCTGCTGGTGTTGCTGCTGGTGCTGCTGCTGGTGCTGCTGCTGGTGCTGCAGCTGCTGCTGTCTGGCAGCCGCAACAGCAGCATGCTGCGGCGTGTGTGCTGCCTGCAGCTGCTGCTGCCACTCAGGCGGCAGCACCAGCTCTTCTCCTTCTTCGAGCTGCTCCATCAGCAGCGCTTTGCAGCGGCGGATGTGGAAGGCAGCAGCAGGACTTTTGTGCAGCCGGAAGCTCAGTCGGGTGCCTCCGCTTTTGCTGCTGCTGCTGCTGCTGCTGCTGCTGCTGCTCTCGGGCGTTTGACGCACTAGACCGGGGGGCTCAAGGGGGTCATTTGCATCCGCCCCGCTGCTGGTAAGGCCGCTACCTGCTGCTGCAGTTGGTGTTGCTGTAGCTACAGCTTCTGAGGCCGCTGCTGCTGCAGCGTGAGCCCAATGGGGAGTGCGGTGCAGCATCTGCAGCAAAGACGAGCCCACAGATGCGTCTTCCAGAGCAGCAGCAGCAGCAGCAGCGGCGGAAGTTGCTGCTGCTGCGGCATCTGGTGCGTTGGCCGTCTTAGCAGCAGCACCAGCCATCGCTGCCCCTACCGCTGCTGCTGAACTAGTGCCTGAGGTAAGCTGCGCGCGTACTTCCCCCTCTCCTGCTGCTGCTGCTGTTGCTGCTGCTGCTGCTGCTGCTGGTGCTTCTTGGTGCGCAGGTGGTGATGTTACTGACGGCTTGTCCCGGAGCTTCTTCCGAAGGCGCTCTAGCACAGAAGCCATGCGGCCGCTCTGCTGCTGTTGATGCTCCTGCTGCTGCGGCTGCTGCTGCGGCGGCGGCTGCTGGTGCTGCTGCTGCGGCTGCTGCTGCCGTGGACCAGAAGCAGAAGCAGACACAAGCAACGGCTCCGTTGCAGCAGCTGCTGCAGCAATCCCCTCTCGCCTTTCCAGCTGTCGTTTTGGTGCCGCAGATGCGCTCTCAGCACTCGCTGGAGTTTCTACTTCTGCAGCAGCTGCTGCTGCGTCCCTAGCGACGGCAACTTCTGTTGCTGCTGCTGCTGCTGCTCCTGCTGCTGCTGCTGCTGCTGCTTCTGCTGCAGCTGCTGCTGGGATAGGTGTCAAGGACCCAGTGGAACACAGTTCGCCATCCTCTGGCTCTCCATCGGCGCTGCTGTTGCCCATCAACAACGTTTGCTTCCTGCTGCTGCTGCTGCTGCTGCCGCGGTTGCTGTTGCTGCTGTTGCTGCTGCTGCTGTTGCTGCTGTTGCTGCTGCTGTCGCTGCTGTTGCTGCGGATG